TTTCAGAGAATGGTTTTTTTTGCGATTGGGGCCCGCCCCCTCGCCTACGCCACTGTCTCTTCCGTGCTTCTAGTTTTCCATCCAGCTTTCATTCTTCTATTCCATGTCTTTCTTGCTCTTCTATTCGTCTATCTCATCTAGCGGTAAGCACCATGCATGGTATCTAGTCTCGTTTGTGTTTCGCCACGTTTGGCACCTTCCATAGTTACTATTTTCTATATTCTTGTTCAATGTAGTTACTGTATCTACCGTATGTCATCTACACGTGCCAAAGTAAAGCTGTTAAATAGGTGTTTGCTAGCTGTCCCCTTGCAGCTCTTGACAATCTGGCCACAAACTGTCCACCAGACCTTCCTTGTCAATTTCATTTTTTTTATACACATTCAGATTTTGACCACATTAAGGCCTGTCTACATAATACGATTAGTTGTATGCGATTGTCATTCTGGCTCTGGCACATGCAAATTACTGCAGATGTCACAGATGTCACAATTGCTCTTCATTCAGTGCATGTCGAAATTTCTTTATGTCTGCCTGTTTATTCGATTACATGCACCCCATCTTTAAAGCTTTATGCAGTCATTGTGTCAGCATAAATTAATGGGAACGCATGAATATATAAGGGGAGGCTCTAGCCTCATCTGCAATGAGGGGCACATATTTTCTATGGGGTGGTGCATGAGAGAGCCTTATACTGCCGACTCTCCTCTGCAGCCGGCAATGCTACCATGCTCTCATTACTACCCCAGCTATTATTTGAGATAGTTGAATCTGCATGTTCACCATTCTGTTACGTTTTACCTTATATTTCATTCACAAAGTTTACATTCGGCTTTTTATTACGTATGCGCAACTGGACAGCTGCTGTAGCACAGTACAGTAAACTTGCTTGTTAAAGTACAGTATATTTGAAAATATGGCTGTGTAACAACCTCAACATGTCAATTAATATATATATTTAACCATGATATTTAACTAATAAAGCATTCTGAGTATTTTCACGTGAGCTCACAAACATAGGCGTACGGGAAGGGAAAAATTGGGGGGGGGGGAGAGAAAGAAATTTTCCCCACTTTTCCCATTGTGTACAATAGTACTCTGATTTTCCATATTTAAGAGGCTGTCTCCGTAAAAACCTCCAGGTCGATATGGGGCTCAAAAATAGATTTCTCTCATACTCTAGTATTTTGAAGATCTATCCTTGGGAACAACTAAAATCGATGTCATTTTACTCAAATTTCCTTTAAATTATTTTTGGGGGCGATTGATGTTCGATCGACTGGTAACCAACTTGATACTCCGAATGAAGGCCAAATATCGACATATTTTCAGCGCTATTTTTTAAATCAAATTCATACCTAAATTTCAAAATTTTTGCTCAGAAATATAGACTTATCCTTCTATTTTCGTGGGTGATATGACTTAGATCATTATTCTTTGGTATAAAATAGAAAACAGCGCAGTTATTGACCCTCCTGAACGGATAAAGGATATCGTCTCAAAATATGTCAACTTCGAAAGCTTATTTCAAAATCGTGGCACTTGATTGGCACATGACTTTAACTTTTCTATAAACTACTAACATTAGTCAACACAAATCGCCAATAATATCTTTCTGATCTACCATTTGACAAAAATGACAAGCGCGCAAACTTTGTAAAATTTGAAAATGTGTCGAAATCGAGCATACTTTATCGGTAAACATAATTATTGATATTAACAGATAAAATCACCTTACACTACACTGAATGAAGCTTCATTATGTAAATATATGTCTTTCATCATTATTCTTTGGTTTGGCGCTTGAATCAAATTGTTTGAGTACAGTTTGGCTTCACGGATAGAGTCATTCAATGCCAGTGTGTCCAGTGTCTTCTGCGCGCCTCAATGCCACGAGTCCTGATTGTGACATACTATACAATCTTCGCTCTGTTCGCTTTGTTTACCTCTTTAACAAATACCTTTACCTGTTTAACAAATAACAATGTTCAATGAAATTGGAAAACTCAGAATTAGTCATACTACAGACAGAATTTTCATCGTTTTTAGACTTTTTAAACTGTTTTATAAAAGTTTCGTTAGAATGTACGAATTAAATCTCGGGGAAAACCCCGGGCCCTGGCCGAAAGAAATCAGAAATGTATACTCGCTGTGATGTCAAATGTCAATATTTCGTTAGTTTCGCTCAGTATAGTTTTCTAGCAAATGAATTGTCTCTAGGTTTAGAAACAATTATCAATGAAACTAGAATTCAAGTAAGTCACGGTTCTGTATAAAAAATCAACTTTTTCAGGCCGACCCTGGGTCACTTTGCTCAAGGCTATGCTTCAAGAATTTATATTATTTCTTATTGTATAAAATACGCGAATATTTTGATATAATTCAAAACAATTCAGCGCAAACAGCTGTAACCCATTTGAACGTCTCAGTTATTTAATCAATGTTATTCCTTTTTTCAGTAACAATTAGAAAGGTTCTGAAAATTAGAATTAATTTATATTCTTCTTTCCGACAAGCTTTAAAGCCTGGTCCACATATGCCTGCGGCATGCCTGCGACTGTATCATTATGCCTCTACTTGCCGCCGAAATACCGGCAAAGTTGAACTCAACTCAACTTTCCCGGCCTACCGCCGATGTAACTGAGGCACTGGAGGCAATCGGCGAACAAATATTCACATAATTTACGTTTTAAGCTACCACCGGCATCGTCGCCGGTACGTCGCAGGCATATATGTGAACCAGGCTTAAAAGGTGACACATTTGCAAGTGATAACTAATGTCATTCTTACACGCCAGCAACTTTGAAGAACAGTCTACTGTGTCTCGGAATTTTCCACACTCAGAAGTAGAAAAGGAACATTTCTACATTATTGCTTACCGTCATTCTCATCTGTCAACATAAAATCTACTGTCGGTCGAAATCGTTTATAGGTTTACCTAACGTTGCGTGATCACAAATTGCGGCTGTAGTAGAACACCATTATTGTAAACACAAAAACCTCGTGCAATACTGTCTAAGACCACTATTTAATTCAATACAAAGAAAGGGAAATCAGAGAGCAACGAAACATTTCATCGTCATTTGATTGACATGTTTACGCTCAGCGAGTACATTTCTTTCGGTTAGGAGTTTTCCCCGAGATTAATTCGTACATTCTATAAAACGAAACTTTATATAACAGTTTAAGGTAAACAAACCAATGAAAATTATGTCTGTAGTATGACTAATTCTGAATTTTCTAATTTCTTTGAGACATTTTATTTACAGGAGGTAAACAAAGCGAACAGAGCGAAGTTCGTATGTCACAATCAGGACTCATGGCATTGAGGCGCGCAGAATTCGAACACACTGGACACACTGGCATTGAATGACTATCCTTGAAGCCAAACTGTACACTCAGTCAAACAATTTCATTCGAGTGCATAACCAAAGAATAATGATGAAAGACATATATTTACATAATCAAGCTTCATTCAGTGTAGTGTAAGGTGGTTTTATTTGTTGATATCAAGAATTATGTTTACCGATAAAGTATGCTCGATTTCGACACATTTTCAAATTTTACAAAGTTTGCGCGCTTGTTATTTTTGTCAAATGGTAGATCAGAAAGATATTATTGGCGATTTGTGTTGACTAATGTTAGTAGTTTATAGAAAAGTTAAAGTCATGTGCCAATCAAGTGCCACGATTTTGAAATAAGCTTTCGAAGTTGACATATTTTGAGACGATATCCTTTATCCGTTCAGGAGGGCCAATAACTGCGCTGTTTTCTATTTAATACCAAAGAATAATGATCTAAGTCATATCACCCGCGAAAATAGAAGGATAAGTCTATATTTCTGAGCAAAAATTTTGAAATTTAGGTATGAATTTGATTTAAAAAATAGCGCTGAAAATATGTCGATATTTGGCCTTCATTCGGAGTATCAAGTTGGTTACCAGTCGATCGAATATCAATCGCCCCCAAAAATAATTTAAAGGAAATTTGAGTAAAATGACATCGATTTTAGTTGTTCCCAAGGATAGATCTTCAAAATACTAGAGTATGAGAAAAATCTATTTTTGAGCCCCATACTGACCTGGAGGTTTTTACGGAGACAGCCTCTTAACATACAAGCCTCTAGTCCTGGGCTAGGGTACATTTTGATTTACGTCGGACAAAGCTACAGTTCGGTCGGACACCAATACACTTGGGTCGGACAAACAATAAACCTCAGTTTCACTTTGGTCTGACAGAATGTCCGGTGGTTTCCTCTCTACGTCGGACAATTTGACTCTGGTGGTTTCCTCTCTACGTCGGACAATTGAATGGGTTGGACAATGTCCGTGACCGACCGATATTTTAAGGCCTGCACTTTCGGCTCAAAAATGGTTATTTTTCCCGTGCATGATGCAAATATATACAAAATTGGCGAACTTCACAGGGCAATATTTTCCTCATTTTACAACATTTCGCAACCAAACTTTGTCATTTTACTAATTTTAAGAAGCTCTTTGCAGCTATGATAATGGATTTCGTTCTTCCTGAGTGTCTAGATCAAAATTTTGTCTATATAGCTGGAATCATCCATTAAATCGTTTCAATTAGAAGTTCTGGCAAATCGTTTTGGAAAGCAGATTTTCTGAAAATGTATGGTCAAGCTGATTTTCTAGGGCAGTACACTCACTCAATTGACCATTTGCGTAATAGACTAAATTTTGAACTAAACAAGTCTAGACAAATATTTCATCACAGCTTGAAGGAGCATCACAAAATTAGTAATATTCCAAAGTTTCGTTGCAAAATGTTGTAAAATGCGGAAAATATAGCCTTGCGAAATTTGCAATTTTCAGTCATTTTAGATTACAAACGGGAAATTGACAGCCCCAAACCCTTCGAGGCTGTCAATTTCCGGTTTGTAATCTAAAATGACTGAAAATTGCAAATTTCGCAAGGCTATATTTTCCGCATTTTACAACATTTTGCAACGAAACTTTGGAATATTACTAATTTTGTGATGCTCTTTCAAGCTGTAATGAAATTTTTGTTGAGATCAAAATTTAGTCTATTACGCAAATGGTCAATTCAGTCAAGATTTTTCTTTCCATCTCACCTTGGCTTGATTGTAATTGATTTCCCTGATTCAGTTCCCTATTTAATCAAAATTATTATAAATGAATGAATTAAATGCTTTGCTATTAGATAATAGCAAAAATTAGTGCCACATTAGATCTATTAATAATTAATTCAAAATAATTGAAGATTATTTCAATTTCCTATTATAATATTTTACATTTTGTGAATTAGTAATGAATATCTGTCCACTCTTGATCTGCATTTACTGTACATAAAGCCAAGTAAAAAAAAACTTGGGTAGTGTCCCCGCCCGACCAGTGAAAAACCTTTCTATTTAAAATATAAAGACCTTAGAAATCATCAATTTTGAAAGGCGAATGCATAGTTTTTCTTGTGTTGTGAGATGAATTCCAGCCATTTTTTTTAATTGTCGGCTACCAACTGGAAACAAATTTCCACCGTCACGAAATTTAACTCAAACAACTTCATTTTTACTGCACTGAAACTTTGGTGAGAAAATTGAGTTTCAAAACTCAATTCAAGATTGAGTTTTTGGGTCCGTTTAACAGCCCTAAAAAATCCCTGAAAATACCCTGTAGTGGTATCTGGATCTGATATGTCCCTAATAAAAGTTGATGACAATTGATACAATTGGCCAAGCTTTCTGTAACTATTGATTAGCTATCGATTATCCAAAGAAAATCAGTATTCATTGTTATGATTCGATTGATCGAATGCATTTCCAATTATCAATTTTCATGGACTATATTACAGTCGTGCCAATAGAACCATTCCAAAAAATGTTGACCAGTTCCTTTCCTAACTTCGAGGAGTTCCTCTGAACAATTCCTCAACAAGTTGATAAGTTCCATAAAAAGTTCCTAACTTCCTGTTTTATTGACCAATCAGATTGCTCAAAAATAAAATATAAAATTTGATTGGTCAATGAAACAGGAAGTTAAGAATTTTTTTAGCAACTTATCAAATTGTTGAGGAATTGTTCAGAGGAACTCCTCGAAGTTAGGAAATGAACTGGTCAACATTGGGCTATTCCATTTAATATCCGTACCCCCTCCCTGTTGAGGATACATGTTTTTCATAGGGCGTAAAAAAAAATACCTGTGGTTCCGGTCAGGAACGCCGGAACTGGGAGGGCAGGGGGGGCGGCTGCCCCCCTTGCCTTTTGCTAGGGGGGCAGGGGGGGCAGGAAGTGCCCTTTCAGTTGTAAAATAATATGTGATAAATCACATTTTCAACGATGCTTTTTGTAGGAAAATCACGAGATTCAGGTAATTCATAGTTTATATTTATAAAAATTTTTGGAAATTTTTGGAATTTAGAAAAATATTTTGAAGAAATGGGGAAAATTTAAGATATCCGGAAAATTTTTTGGCTTCACGGAAAATTTTTGTATGTCCGGAAAATTTTTTTGATCCCCCCCCCCCCCCGTCGCCAAAAAATTTTGCAGTGAAAAAAAATTTTTCAGTAAAGGTGCCCTTGGTGTGCGTCCGCCCCCCTTTGCCCTATTATCGTTCCGGCGTCCCTGGTTCCGGTTTCATATCGTGAAAAAATTAGGGTTGGTAGGTTGGAAACAAATTTTTTTTTGAATATTTTTTTCACGGTTTTGGCATTTTTTTGCTGGGCGATTTGCAGTAGAGTCCCAACATCAATGTTAACTAGAGATGCGTATTTCCTATGGACGAATTTAGGCAATTTGGTTCAATTATTAGTGTGACAACAGACGGCATTTTGGCACACTGTACGAGCAGCCCGCAACCACCTGGAGAAAATAGGGTCGCACAGTCAATCACGTTGAAAAATAATAGGGTCGGCAGAAAAAAAATAGGGTCGGTCGGGAACCGGAACCACAGGTATTTTTTTTACGCCTAGTTATACCCCTCAAGAATTCCAAGCTCAAAACCTTTTACCCCTGAAGGGTTCCAAAATTCCAAGCTCAAAACCCTTTACCCCTGAAGAATTCCAAGCTCAAAACCTTTCACCCCTGAAGAATTCCAAAATTCCAAGCTCAAAACCCTTTATCCCTGAAGAATTCCAAGCTAAAAACCTTTAACCCCTGAAGAATTCCAAGCTCAAACCTCTTTACCCTGAATAATTCCAAGCTCAAAACCCTTTACCCCTGAAGAATTCCAAGCTCAAAACCTTTCACCCCTGAAGAATTTCAAGCTCAAAACCCTTTACCCCTGCATAATTCCAAGCTCAAAACACTTTACCCCTGAAGAATTCCAAGTTCAAAACCCTTTACCCTGAAGAATTCCAGGGATCCTCGACAGGGGGGTACGGATATTAAATGGAATACCCATTTTTCGAAACGCTTCTATTGGCATGACTGTAAAATGTTGCTCATGAGTATTTAATTAAAGACAAAATTCCCCACGACGATTAAACATCCAAGAAAATACTCACTTTGCCGTTGGTTGTTTTGGTTAAAATAATTGGCGTTTTCATCTGTGCTTGTTGAGCTGCCGGTAGAAATTGCTCAACTGCAGGTTTTGTTTGACTTGGCCTAGCTCTTCTATCCCTTGGATCCCGAAAACCTCGATCACGCCTGTTTCTGCCACCCTTTGCCTTGCTTCCAGCATCGCCTCTAAAGCCACGATCATCCATAAAAAAGTGTTGATTGTATTGTTTTATTCACGAGTGACTTTAATACAACTGCCATGGATCTTCCCAATTCATGGCAGTACATGCCAGTACTTCATGTTAGCATATCATCGTGGAAAAAATACAAAAGCAGGGACCCAGGCATAGCCTTTGGATTGGCGGACATAATTTGTTTGCGGGCAAAAAATCTCGTCGACTCAGGGCACAGGGCTTTCCTGTTTCAACATGGTCTCTTAGGGGCTGATTACATGGACCGAGCCAGCCCGGTTAACCGGGCTGAAAAATGTCACGAAAATCTTCCTTGGGCCGCAAAATGAGTTTTAAATCGGGTTTAGGATGATTTTGCATCTATACTAAACCAATTATTTATCGCAAATTTATTTTACGCGAGTTTTAAAACCACAGTAAGGTCCTAAACAAACGAGTCAGCCCGGTTAACCGGGCCAGCTCGGCACCATGTAATCAGCCCCTAAGAGTGGGGTCAAAGTGTGTTTGCGGGGG